GAACAGGCTCAAGGTGAATGCACTGAACATGGGCGCAAGGCTTCACTAACAATGGTTATCTCCCTCAAAGCTCGGGCTGTGAAATTTAAGCAGCCCACTTTGTCCTTTCCCAATCCGCAAACACCTCCTCAGGGATTTCAGAGAACCCGCTCCCACGGCGGCTCACATGGATTTATGTGACAGATGTACACTTATATAAAGTTACAATTAAACTGATTTTATATACTTAGAGGTAGCCAAAGATTGCTGAGTTCTTTAAGAAATCATATTCAGCAGTCTCCCACCCCCAAATTTCTATTCTCTTCCTTCTCAAGGCATCTTAACTAACTATAGCTTACCCCAAAAAAGGTTCAATTTTAAAAACTCATGTTTAATGGAAGATCTACAGTGGCTGCACTTAAGAGACATTTAAGTCACACCAAATCCCGCAGTAACAAAAGGAAAGATAATTTAAAAACCATGTAACACCACTGCCCTGGCATCATTCATCTCAATTCTTGTGTCCTTATATCAGTTATCAGGCAGGGGGTCTAAGGGTGGAAATGCCACTTTCCCGTTGCCTATGTACTCAGAAGGGAGCCATCTGCTTGCTGGGGACCAAGACGGTGACTCACTTCTGCATCCTCCATGGCAACTGCCCAGACTTTCACAGTCCGCATCTCCTCTCAGCATCTCCAGGATGCTTTGGTGAAGGAGAGAAAAGGCTCTGGATTACCACCATGTATGTTAGTAATCTCCTGTTAGGATCTGAACCCCAGTTTTCTGACTCCTTATTTAATAGTTTGTTTCCCCTCAAAGTGGTAGATACCCATTCTCCAGAAAATGTCTTTACAGGAAGTCTCTGGTAACACAGTACTCAGGATGATCTACGACTTCTCATTTGACTCTACCCACTTGTGCTCGGCTCTCAGAAACTTCCCTCACAAGGCTGTCATAACCGGCTTGGTGTATGTTAGTGTTGAACTCCCATTTGCTACATATATATGACAGCTCAACTCAGAAGCAAGTAGTTTAGGCTTTTTCTCCTCACTTGGCTCAATGCTTTGTGTCTTACTGTGATCTTATTAGGTTGATTCAGAAAGAAGCAAGTACTGGGCCACAGTCTTAGCTACACTCACTGCTGCTTAAACCAGCAGGGCACCTGGAGCCCCAGAGGGGAGAAAGGCCACAGCTCTATTCTCTCCACAGCTCACAACAAAGACACACACTAGTAGTCCTCCCCTACCCACTATTTGGCTTGCCATGGTTTTAGCTCCTTGAGGTCAACTTTGGTTTAACAACTACACAGAAAATTCCAGAGACCACTTGCAAGCTTTAAATTGAGTGCAGCAAGGTGATAATACTCCATACCACTGATTTGTCCTGAGGGATGTGATGGTAACTGTTATAACTGAGCCAAGGAGCTACAAGAACAAACAAGCATCAAAGAGGGGAACGCATCAGAGAAAAGGGATTCATGCATGCTATCTTACAATTTGTTCATATGTAAACTATTAAGAATTTCAAGAGTTAAACAACTTCGATTACTTGAAATGCATTTGTAGTATGTAATTTAGATGTCAAAAAAATCAATCAAGCAAACAAACTGGATTTATTCTGAAACTCTGATATATACAGAATCTTGTGTTTAAAATTTAAGAGATACAAATGACAGGAAGGGACCCACCTACTTAAAAAGCTTTTTTTTTCTTTTTTAAACTAAAAAGCAGATGTATGGTAAACAGTAAACAAGAGATAGCAGGAACTTCTATGAGCAAAGAAAGTCTTTTTGCAAACCAGATCTCAATGTGGTGAATAGACCACTAAAGCCCCGTTTTCTTCATGTGGAATAGTCATTTTAGGAATATGTACACAGGGCCATCACATTCATCCCAGGGACATGGAATCAGATGGCACTGCAGACCCTTTCCTCCCTGGCTAGTGGTACCTGTGTCCCTTTTCCTTGCCATCTCCCTGTTCCTCCCCTCCCCCTCTCCACCCTTATTCATCTATGCCTTGCTTCCTAACCCTTCTCTGTCTGGCCTATCAGCTAAAAAGGTCTGATAAAGGTTACCAATTACGTCTAATCTGGCGAGTCCAATGACCATTTTTCCATCCTAATTGTGACTCATCTGTTAATCTATGACACTGCTCAATGCATTCCTCGATGCGTAGGGGCCATGTGCAAAGCAGGCACATGAGATTCCCAGACAGTAAGACCTGGCAGCTGCGCATGTGCACGGTGTGTGAAATAGATGTGTCCAGTAAAGTGTTCCAGGTAGAATCACAGAAGTCAAAATGGGGACAGTGGCAACAGGCAACAGACAGAACGTTCATAGTGGAGAGCACTGTCAGAAAGGGCTGTAGAATGAGTTGAGTACGCTGACAAGGACCGGGAGAAGGACAACAGAGTCACCACATAGGAACTGTCCCAGGTGAAAGGCAACAGAATGAGCCAGTGTGGAAGCACAAGATGCTTAGAGAAGATCAGAGGAGAATGCTGGGGGAGTCTACATCATGGACCTCTGCCCAGGATAAAAAGGGAGGAGGAAAGGCAGCAAGAGCAGGGAAAGGACAAAGAAGATGTAAACAAACCGAGGAACCACATGTGTCTGTTTTACACGGTTCAATGATTCCTTTTACTTGCTGGTTATGATGTGCTATGCAGGTGATCATTCATGAAGGTAGAAAGCTCAGAGTTGTTGGCAAGTGCAGAGCCTCACGGCAAGCAGTGCAGTACCAGCCCTGGTAGTCAGTGTGCCGAAGGCCACTTTCACAGCAGGAGGGACCTGTCTCATGGAGCACACACACCTTTAGCATCAAACCCATCAATCCCTTTCCAGTGTCACTGTTTCAAAAGGAGAGCCATGATTGCAAATTATTTATATTCAAATATGTTTATCTAGACCAGATGCCAACCTTTCATTATTCATGTTTCCCACTTTCCCACTGCAGTTTTTCCCATCAGCACTAAGGCCATAGCTGCTATATAGGTGTAACAATTTTCACCAGAGCCTATCCACACAGGTGATTTTCAGGTCTCCCAGTAGATTTTAGTGCCTCTGAGGGGATCATTCAACTCTGTAACCTCTTCGATTCTATCCCACTGTAAGTGGCCAATAGGCCAGGTCTTATGACTATCCACTGTTCCTGGTGGATATTACCACTTTAAAGGGAAACAACAGCATTGGAAAATATTTCATGCCTCCATGAAATGTGTTGGCTACTTGTCCTGAACCATTTTAAGCCTCAGAACCTATACTTAAAAAGAAAAGAAAAGGAACAAAAACCAAGAGTCAGGAGAAACCACATCTGGAGTTCCAGTTTGGGAGAGGCAGTAGTTCTGGAGGTAGATGGGGTACAGTTTGTATCTCACACATTGAAACAAAGGCTCACATGTTAAAGGCTTCCTCACCAGCTTTGAACTACTTGAAGGTAGTGGATTCTGTAAGAGGCAGGCTCTAGTGGAAGGTTGTGTGGTCTCTGGATCTGGTGATTAAATGAGAATGGCCCCCATATATCGTCATGCTTAGTCTACAGTTGATGAACTGACTGGAAGGATTAGGAGGTCATTGTTGGAGGAGGTTTGTAAGTGGGGGTTTTGACTTTCCAGAAGCCCATGACAAGCCCAGTGTCACTCTCTGCCTGCTGCCTGTGGACCCAAATGGCTCTCAGTTACTTCTCAAGTCCTAGGCGGCCTGCTGCCTCCATAATCCTGCCATGATGGTCATGGACCAACCCTCTGAAACTGTAAGTAAGCCCCCAGCTGTGTGCTTCTTTTAAGAGTTGCCCTGGTCACGATGTCTTCACAGCAATAGAAGAGTAGCTAACACACAGGGGATGCACCCTTGAAGAAGATGCTTCTCATCACTCATCACAAGGCAAACTGTATTATTTCTTTTTTTTTTAAAGATTTTATTATATATATAACATTCTGCTTCCATGTATATTTGCACACCAGAAGAGGGCACCAGATCTCATAACGGATGGCTGTGAGCCACCATGTGGTTGCTGGGAATTGAACTCAGAACCTCTGGAAGAGCAGTCAGTGGCTCTTAACCTCTGAGCCATCTCTCTAGCCCCAAACAGTGTTATTTCAGTGTGTGCTTATATCATGATACGCTGTTGTGCCATTTCAGGCCTGAAAGTAATGTGGCCAACGATAATGGGCTGAAACTTCCAAAACTGTGAACCAAAATGAACCCTACTTCTTTAAGCTAATTATCTCAAGGATTTGTTATAGTGATGAAAAGCTGACAAAATCAGATATGAATGGTGACACACGACAATGTGAAGGTACCTAATCCCAGAACACAGCATATTTAAAATGGTTGGTAAGCATGGCAAATTTTACAACAAAAATAAACAAACAAACAAACAAAAACCCACAAAATGTAGCTCTAAACAAACATGTGATACCCTGAGGCCAAAGGCCTTACACATTTGATGCATGCTCTATTTATTCTGGTCTGTTCAGCTCTGAGCTCAAAAACATTTTCAAAAGATCACCACATGGGAGCATAATGATTTTTCTACTACCATTAAATGTAATTACAAAAAAGGTTGATTTTAATAAAACGTAGTTAAATCTACAGGATATTAGGTAGTCATTTAACTTTCTCCTGTATTTTCCCTACAAATACTTATGAACCTATACTAAGCAAATGAATTCAAAAATTTTAAGATGCCTCACTGATGCCTAAAAACCAGGGTAAGGGGAGGGGGGGCCTGAAGCTTCTAGTATCACTCCTGATCTTCTTCAGGACAACTGGGAATATCAGTAGAGTCTAAATACAGGAAAGCGGGACCTGGTGTAGTTTTATTTGTGAATCTACTCTACCCAATTCCTAAAGGAGTCACTTGAGTTGTCATATCTATATTTTACAGAAAAAGTATTGGAACGAAACTTAACAGAGAAGCATTAGGTTCCATACGATCCCCCTTATTAAGGAAAAACAGTATTAATAGAATAGCTGAGACAATTCAAAGCCCCCTAAAGCTATTTTTAACGTGATAAGTACTCACATTAAAGCTCAGAATTATTCTGCACACATTTAAGATTGAATGTGGCGCCAGGTGTTGGTGGCGCACACCTTTAATCCCAGCACTCAGGAGGCAGAGGCAGGCAGATCTCTGTGAGTTCGAGGCCAGCCTGGTCTCCAGAATGAGTGCCAGGATAGGCTCCAAAGCTACACAGAGAAACCCTGTCTCGAAATACAAACAAACAAACAAAAACAAAAACAAAACAAAACAAAAAAAGATTGAATATGGCACGGTTATTCCAATCTTGTGAACTAAAGTTCATGTTCAGAAGTGCCCTTCAAGGAAGTGCTTGGACAAGAGGGATCTCCCTAAGCCAGTGGTTCTCAACCTTCCTAACACGTAACCCTTTAACACAGTTCCTCATGTTGTGATGGCCCCCAACCATTAAATTATTTTCACAGCTACTTCATAACTGTAATTTTGATGTTACAAATCATAGCGTAAACATTTTTGGAGACAGAGGATTGCCAAAGGTATTGCTACCCACAGGTTGAGCACCACTGACCTAAGTAGTGGTGGTGGGAACTGGGAAGGCGAGGCCTGACTGGAGAAAATGGGCTGCTAGGGATGAGCCTTTGATGAATGTATTTTATTCCTGGTACCTGCCCACCCCACCTTGCCCACTTCCCAGCCACTATGGGGTAAGTGTCTCCCCTGCCATGTTCCCTTGATGCTCTGTCTCACCTCAGGCCTACTGAAATTGAGCAAGTCAACTCTGACCTGAAACTAGGAGTGAAATGGACCTTTACTCCTGTAAGTAGGTATTTTGTCACAGTGACAAAATGTGACTAACACAGTCCCCTTCCTAACAAAGAGAGCATGGACCCAGGACTGTGACTGGGGCATTGTGAGCATCACTCTATAATTAAGATAACCCTTGCCTCTGCCCTTTCAGGGTTATAGGCGTATTCCAGGTGTTGATTCATTGATCCTTCCTACCATTAAAAGCTGGAAGAACAGGTCAGAGTTCACAATCAAACTCTGCCAAATAATTCTCCTGGGCTGTCCAGTAAGTGCTCTAACATGACCTTTGAAGAACAGCTTAAGAACAAACAAGCATAAAGCAGAAGACTCGGAAGAACCATGGACAGCATCCAAATCATGCTTCCTCCTCTTTCTTAAGGTTACAGGAAAGGGCAAGAAACACAACTCAGTTTAAAGCTTTCATTGTTTATAGTTACCCATCAACTAGGACTCTTCTTAAAAATGCCTGGAATAAGCCAAAGTGCAGATTTAAATGCCAGAGCCACAGTCCAATTTAACAATAGGTATAACCTCTTAAACTCAAAAATAACACAGTAATAAATGAGTGAGTAGAACAAAGAAATAAAACTGACCAAATCATATTTAAAATGAATCATGAACTGAAAATAGGATGAATCCAGAGATGGCTGCCAAGAGAATGCTGTAGTAATTTCCAAGGGGGTGACAAAAGCAGGAACAGAATCTTGGCCATGCACGAGGGACATAGGCACTCTAGGCATCCTCCCTAGAGGAAGTCTGAGGTCAAGGCAGCCACGCTGCAAGGTAGTGCTTTCAACAGAGCTTTTCAAAAGCGCCTAAGGAATAATCTAGCACTCTTTTCTTCAGTTTGTAAGATCTTGTAGTTGAAGAATTACATGACCTACAACATGCAGGTTTCAGGAAACCTTAATGTGCCTGAGTACTAAGTCTCAAGTTGCCTATTTAGTCTTGATTGACAGGCTTTTTCAAAATTATTTTTGGGGAGGTCACAGGTGCATTGAAGCCCAGTTACAGAGTAACAGTACTTTGGAAGGGAGTTTCCTGTGACCAGCAAAATCAACCTGCCACACACTAGCTAATGGACTGGCTTCAGAGACGGGGGGATTAATGAGATACGGCTGATGCCCTCCAAGTAGCCAACATTCACTACAGTGTAAGACATACAAAACCACATCTGCAAACACACGTGTTTGAGAACATGGGGGGACCTAATTTGGGGGAAGTCAGAGCCAGCTTCTGAGAAAACATGACAAATAAGCTTCATCCCTCAGGATGAAGACAAACACTTCAAGGCAAGGTAGAACACTGGGTGTTGGTAAGAACTGGCAGGCATGGTACAGCCAAAGAGGGCAGGCACAGGGAAAGACAGGGTCCGAGAGACTGGTGTTACATTGCGTAAGGTCACAGAGTTTGGATTGACCCCACAGGTGACAGGAGCTGTCGGAATACATTGCTGGCTAGTTAGAGGTCACAGTCTGCCATAGCCTAGCAGCTTTCACTAAGCTCAGCAATATGGAAACTCCCTCCCTCCCTCCCTCCCTCCCAGCAAAGCTTCCTGCTCTCCACCTGCCCTTATCTGGAGATTGTCCCTGGGCCAGGAGGACTGACTTTATCTGAAAGCTTTCTCTAAACCAGATACCTGATTCATCTTTAGCTTGACCCTTGGCACAGATCCCTGCTGGAAGACCTGTGCTAGGAGCTCGGCTATGGGACCCTACTACCACACACTGAGCCTTGTGATAGGAGAGTACCACTTAACACAAATTAGGGTTTGTCCCCAGGACCCCCAATCCTATATGTTCCCTATACTCTGCAATCAAATTGAGCTGATTCACTGAAATCTGTCTGGAGGAGAGGTAGATGACTCTGGTCATGCTCATGGGCCCCTTCTGCCTCTTTCTCCCTCAGACTGATGGCCAACAGGCTGAGAGGGACAGGGGCGATGCAATTATTTCACAAGATGACGACTAGCATCTGCTTTTGACTTTGCACATGGCCCTGGGAATACCATTTTTTATGGCTATGGCAATAACTACCACAGACTTAAATTAAAATCACAGAAAAGATTTAATAATTTGGGATGGTTAAATTCCCCAATGTCCCAACATCAGCTTCCCTGGTCCAAACCAGAGTTCTGGCAGGACAGTACTATACCTGGGTTCTAGAGGAAAATCCCCTGAAGGCCTCTTTCACCCACATGGGTGCAGGTGTCCCAGGCTCTGGACATACTAACAAATCTCTACTTCTACCTTCATGTCACCTCTCCTCACATGGTTGTATAATCTCCGGTTCTGCCTCTTTTATGAGGGCATGTGTGAAAGGACTTTGGTCTAACCTCGGGTCACTGCAAAGATTCCAATCAATCCTATCTACAAGGATCCCATTTTGCAAATGAGGCAATGTCTATAAGTTCTAGCAATTGAAAGGTGGGCATATGTTTGGAGATCTGCTTCTCAGTGCACCATAGCCAAGAACAGAATGAAAACCAGCAACAAGGAATGGAAATAAGGAGACCTATTAGAAGGGCAGTGTCATGTCTGTGGGGCAAAAAGGAAAGAGTGGGCTGAGGCACCCCCGGTGAGTGAAGATTAGGCAAGTACTCTTCTTACTCACTTACTCACCCAATTTATATTTGCTGAGTACATCTTTTGACTAGCATCTGTGAACTGAAGAAAAGCACCTCCACCATTAAGTAGCTTATAGTCCAGCTGTGTGCAATCAACAGAGGGTTATTATGTGAAAAACACTACTGGAATAGAAAATGACTGTAAATATATCTAAAACAGAAAAAAATATAGAAAGTGAGATATTAAACACAATGGATTATAGATATCTTGGCTAAGAGACTTCCAGAAAGAGGAAATAACAAAGAACAAAGGCCTGAGAGTACACATAGCAAACTCAAGACCTGGCATTGGCTCATTATGACTGAAGTGAGGGAGGTGATAAGGCAAGTCATGAGAAAGTGGCAGAGAACCA